GGCCCATTTGATACTTTTTCCAGGCCTGTGTGTTTTCCTGACCACACTGCTAAGGAGATTGAGGCTTGGAGAAGTTAAGTGACCTGCCCAGGTTCACATGAGGTCAGGGCCTGAATTTTAATCCACATCTATCAGACCAGAAAGCCAGGGTCATAGCCAGGTTCTACCTTGATGGATTGTTTGGTTTTGTTTTTTTTGAATTTTACTTTATTTTATTTTTTTATACAGTAGGTTCTTGTTAGTTATCTATTTTATACGTCTTAGTGTATATATGTCAGTCCCAATCTCCCAATTGGATTGCTTTTAAATAACAAAGTAGGGGGACTTCCTGGTGACGCAGTGGTTAAGAATCTGCCTGCCAATGCAGGGGACGCGAGTTCGAGCCCTGGCCTGGGAAGATGCCACATGCCACAGAGCAGCTAAGCCCATGTGCCACAACTACTGAGCCTGCACTCTAGAGCCTGTGAGCCACAACTACTGAGCCCGTGTGCCACAACTACTGAGCCCACGTGCCTAGAGCCTGTGCTCCGCAACAAGAGAAGCCACTACAATGAGAAGCCTGCGCACCGCAACAAAGAGTAGCCCCTGCTCACCGCAACTAGAGAAAGCCCGTGCACAGCAACGAAGACCCAATGCAGCCAAAAATAAATAAATAAATAATAAAAATAAATTAATTTAAAAAATTATTTTTAAAAAAGTAGGAAATAATGCTGGGGAGGGGAGACATGGTTTGGGCCATTTGTTTACTCAGTAACCTTTGGGTACCTGCTGGGTAAGGAGGAGATGAGTCAAAAGTAAATACCACACAGTCCTGGCACTGAGGTCCTTGTGTGGTCCTTGCAGGACAGAGGTATTGACAGACACGTGAGAAAATCATTGCAATGTACAGGGGGTGTCCTGATGGTTTGGGGAGTGAAGAAGAAGGCTTCTTAAAGGAGGTATCTGAGTTGGGTTTTGAAGGATGAATAGGAGTTTGTTACTGTGGAAAGACAGTGCAAGAAGAGCTTCTAGCAAGGCATCCCCAAAGAACCATTCATTTGACTAGCAGTTGGGGAATGCCTTAAAGGCAGGGACCTTTAAGGCACCTTAAGGCACCAGGGACCCTTCCTGAATCTCCAGTGCCTTGAGCAGTGCCTGACACAGGCTTGATAAATCCTCCTTTGAGTGAATAGTGGAGTTGACACATTGGGGAACAGGGCGGGAGAAATTGTAGAAGAAACAGATGGGGCTTGAATGTGGAAGGCCTCATGAACCGCAGCAAGGATCGGCTCTGAAAGGTGATCTGGAGCTATTGGAGGTTGTTACCCAATAGCAACAGTTGTGGTCAGGGCCACTATTGGCAGGCGGGGGTGATCAGATCTGTCCCACTTAACACAAGTATTTAAGCCTATAACTTTTCCCCTAAGGAGGAGAACCTGACTGCTTTTAAATGCAAAAAATGGCAGGATTTTCAGTTTCACTCATCGTAAAGAGAAAAGGAAGTTAAGCTACAGGGAGATATGTTCCACTATTAGATTGGCAGAGATCAAAAGCTTTTAATATACTGTGGTATGGGAAGTAGTTACCCTTGTACCTTGTTAGGTGCAATATAAACTGATGGTACCCGTTGGAGGCAGTGTCTGTATAAATTTTAAATGCATACACCTTTTGATCCAGCAGGTCTACTTCTAGAAAGTTATCTTACAAACATGCTTGCTTTGTGTGCAATGAGGCACTTATTAGGTTATTTATTCACGGCTTCATTGTTTGTAAGAGCAGCCCAGTGCCCAGTCAGCAGAAGGCTGATGATATAAGGTCAAGTCCATCCATACAATGGAATACAAAGCAGCTGGAACAAAGAATGAGGAAGTGTGCAGAGCAGGATGATCTTTCAGATCTGTTATTAAGAGATGAAAGGAAGGTACAGCGCAGGATGTGTGGAGTATGTTTCCCTCCATTTGATAACAGAAAATACGTATTTATTTTTGTTATAGATGCATAAAATAGTTTCTGGAAGGATACACAAGAAACCGATACTGTCACCTCTAGAGAGAGGAACTGGGAGGTTAAGGACCAGGAATGGAAGGTGGCTTGTGACTTCTACCCTTTTTTCAAAAGAAATAAAATTAAGCTATCAAGGATAAAGTAGATCTGTGGCACTGATAGAGATCAGTTTCTAATGTTAAGTAAAAAAAGCAAGGCATGGAACTGGTATGTATTATGGTACCTTTTGGGGAAGCAAAGTAGGTAAGCTATATTTGGAAGAATATACAAGGTGTTAGCCATGGTAGTTTTGCCTGTGGTTTAGGAGGGGAGTGCTGTGAGTTCAGGAAGGAGGATTTATTTTTCACAGTGTACCATTTTGTGTAGTTTGGGAAAATTTTAGCACGTAAAGTAAATGTATTACCCATTAAAAGTAAATTAATACAAAGAGAGACATGGATGAATACCTCGGTGGATGGGTGGGTGGATGGATGGATGGATGAGTCAGTGGATGGGTAGTTGGGTGGATGGATGGATGAGTCAGTGGGTGGGTAAGTGGGTGGATGGATGGATGGATGAGTCAGTGGGTGGGTAGGTGGGTGGGTGGATGGATGGATGGGTGCATGGGTAGTGGGGGTGGGTGAATGGATAGATGGTAGATGGATGGATGAGTTGGTACATGGATGGGTGGGTGGGTGGGTGGATGGATGGATGGGTTCATGGCTGAGTTCATATCTGATGCACGTATGGACGCATAGATAAATAAGATAAATTTGGCTGTGGTGGGGAGGACTAAGTGGGGCCCAGAGGGGCTGGAAGCAGGGAATGGCTAGGAAACTACTGCAGGAGTCCAGGCAAGGAATAATTGTGGTAAGGATCAGATTATTGAATTGATTCACATAGGAACCGAGCTTCCTGTATACCTAACTGTGTATATTAAGTCCCAGCATTCTTTTCTTACTAGAAAGGCAGATGCCTTTGGAATGAGCTTTTTCTGGCAACTGCCCAGAAACTGCTTTGTATATAATAACCACCAACAGTTTAATCCCCATTTTCACCATCACCTTAAGAATTATAGGTGAAACCAATTAAAATAGTCTTTGATATAAACTACTCCTCTCCACGCTCATTTTTATTTCCAAGGCTGTCTTCCAGTGCCCAAGTCCAGAGGCATGACCTTTGTCCTTTTAAGGGTTTCTTTGTGTCTAGAAGTTTCCTGGCTAAATCCCTTGGTGTATGTTGACCTTTTAAAGTTTACTTTTCAATGATTCCTTGTTCTTTGTTCTGGAAAAATAACCATTTATATCACAGAATAATTAAACCTCTGAAGAACCAGTTTGGGTACTTAATACCTAGGTCTTTCTCTCTCCCTCTTTTTCAAGTCAAATCCTTTTTTTCAACCATCTTAACCATTTTTAAGTGTACACTTCAGTAGCGTTAAGTATACTCACAGTGTTGTGCACAACTCTTTTGAAAAACTCGGAACATATATTTTGATTGATCATCAAATGTATCTTTAAGTGAAATGGTCTGCTTGTTCCCATCATTTTCTCTTCTGTAATGTTCTTTGATGTGGCTTTAAAACTTGCATGGAGTTGTAAGAATCCAGGTTCCTTGGAGTTCCTTGGTGGTCTCACTTATCTGATTGTGGGAAGGCTGTTGGAACCGGAGCTGTCTGGAGGTGTCTGGAGAGCACATCATCCAGTGGTGGGGAGAGAGTGCTGGGGGAAGGGGGCTGCATGGGGACTGGCCAGCTGGACTGCATGGACCTTATCCAAAGGCTGGCTACTTCTAGCTCCTCCCAATGGTTGTAAGGTGGGAATATGGGCCCAGTGCTGCCAGATTTTCTGATTTTTTAAAAGAGACACTGGAAATCCAAGTTTTACATGAAATTTCCTGATTTTTAAATGTTGGCAGCTAACATAAGATTTTTTTTAAAAAAAGCATGCTTAAAACACCAACAACAGTAACCGCAAACAATCTGCGAGCCATCTCAGCCTGGGAGCCACCTGTTTCAGACCTCTAATTTCATCCCACCCAATTATGGTAGAGATAGGAAATTGAGACCCCAAGATAGGGTAATAACTTTTCCCAAAGTTGTATAATGGTTCAGTGGTCAGATCAGGACTTGAATTAAATTTTCCATTACGGAAGTCTGAAGTTTATTCTTGGGCAGATACAGATATACCTAGTCCATTTATGTATGTATCTATCTACTTATCTATTTGGCGTGTCTCTAATGAAGTACAGGTGGCTTGTTAAAAAATTAAAAGTAATTAAAACAAATTTGTTTCTGAGGCTGGATAGCTTAGTGGTTAAATGCAGGAACTCCAGAGCTGAATTCCCTGAGTTTGAGTTTGGCTCCAGATCTTACCAACTGTGAGATACTGGGCAAATCACTGAACCTCTCTGTGCCTTAGTTTTCCCTCCTGAAAAAGGAATGATAAAGTAATTATAGAATTAAAGGAGGTAATACATATAAAGGACTTAGAATAGGGCCTAGAACATAGAACTGCAATTTGGATGTTATCCATGCTGCTACTGCTGCTGCTGAAGGTGGTGATGACGATGGCCATGATGGCCATGCTGATGGTGCTGATGAAAGTGATCACGATAGTGGTGATGCTGATGACATTGATGGCAGTGATACAGGGATCATGGTGATGATAATGAAGAAGAATAATAGAAAGCTCTTAATTCCCAAGACTGTAAAGTAGGAATGATTTCTATGACTAAACGACGTGTCAGTTTACAAAATACCCTTTAGGATTCCTTTAAATGGCAGTCTCCACCTTTTGTACAATAATGGAACTTACCACAGGTCCCAGAACTTGTCCGTTAGGTGAGATGAGATATACGTTTGTTCGTTGTTCCTTGTTAGGAGGCTTTCTGGCTACTAATCTTTCCAGTTTGCCTGTTCTGCCTGGTGGGGCCTCGTTGTTCTTAAACCCCATGACAGCTAGTTTTGAACTCTTCATGGGCCCCTTTTCCAAGCTCTTGGGGACGTCCTGTTGACCTGTGCCTGTTTGTGTCCTCAGGAGTGGAATGTCACGTGGAACACCAGCAGCCCCGACTTCACCAAGTGCTTTCAGAACACCGTCCTCGTGTGGGTGCCTTGCTCTTACCTTTGGGCCTGCTTCCCCTTCTACTTCCTCTATCTCTCCCGCCATGACCGGGGCTACATTCAGATGACACATCTCAACAAAGCCAAAACTGTAAGTCACGTGGGAGTTTATCATGATGTGTGTGTTGTGGGTGTGTGTGTGCTGGGGTGGGGAATGGTGGTTGTGAAAACTGACATGTTCCTTCTGCTTAATTGGCCCTGAGTTCCTTTTACTGAGAGACAGAATAATAATGTGGTGGGTAAAGGCTGGGGCTCTGAGTTCAGACGTGGGTTCAGATATCGGCTCTGCCACTTACCAGCTGTGTGGCTTTGAGCAAATTTCTTTTTTCCTTCCAGTTTTATTGAGATAAAATAGACATGCAGCACTGTGTACGTTTAAGTGTACAGCATAATAATTTGACTTACATCGTGAAATGATTATCACAGTAAGTTTTGTGAACATCCACCATCTCTTATAGGAACAAAATCAAAGAAATAGAAAGTTTTTTCTTTGAGCAAATATCTTAACTTCCCTGAGCCTCAGTTCCCCCATGATTATAGTGGGGGTGATAGGATCTATCTCACGAGATTATCCAGAGGTCTTCCTCCCTGACCAAGGATGTCTTTTTATTTTTTTTTTAAAGATTTATTATTTATTTATTTTATTTACTTTTGGCTGTGTCAGGTCTTAGTTGCGGCACGCAGGATCTTCGTTGAGGCATGCGGGCTCTTTGTTGTGGTGCGCGGGCTCCAGGGTGCACGGGCTCCGTAGTTGTGGCGTGCGGGTTCCAGGGTGCGTGGGCTCTGTAGTTTGCGGCACATGGGCTCTAGTTGTGGCGTATGGGCTTAATTGCCCTGTGGCATGTGGGATCTTAGTTCCCTGACCAGGGATCGAACCCGCATCCTCTGCATTGTAAGGAGGATTCTTTATCACTGGACCACCAGGGAAGTCCCAAGGATGTCTTTTTAATTTTAAAAAAGTTTTAATCTTGAAATAGTTTCAAACTATAGAAAAGTTGCAAGGATGATACTAAGCACTCCCCAGCCCTGTATACTCGTTACTCATAGTCACCGATTTTTAACATTTTGCCACATTTAACATTTTAACCTCATCCTTCTCTTTTGCTCTCTCCATATACACGTATTATTTATGTTTTTCTGAATCATTTGGGAAAAGCTAGCATCCACCACACCCCTTTACCTGTGATTCTTCAGTGTATCTTTTCTCAAAACAGGGATATTCTTTTATATAACAACAGTACAGTAAATTCAGGAAATTTAACATGGACACAATACTTAAAAAAAAAACCTACTGTGTATATTCCAGTTTTGTCACTTGTCCCAATACTGTCCTTTCTAGCACCCCCCTCCCCCTCCCCTCACTTCAAGGTCATGTGTTGCATCTAGTCACACTCTTTATTTTTCTGTAATTTTGGAAGCACTTTTCACCTTTCTTTGTGTTTTATGACATTGGCATATTTGGAGCGCGTGGGCCAGTTAGTTTAGAGTCAGTTCCTCAACTTGGGCGTTGGGACAATGTTCCCTCATGATTAGATTCAGGTAATGCCTGTCTGGCTGGAAAACTACAAAAGGGATGTGGGGTCCTTCTCTGGTTACATCTAAGGCCGCATGGTGTCCATCTGCCCCTCGGTGATCGGCTTAATTTTGTTCCTCTGGTCAGCGTGTCTGGTTTCTCTGCTGTGCAGGTGCTGGTTTTCCCCTCATAAGGATGAGCTTTCTGGGGGAGACACGTGAAGGGCATGTATATACCTGCTTCTCATTCCACTTTCTCCTCTTGACTTAGCATGTGTCTCAGTCCTTTTTTAAGCCACATTTCCCAAAATTTATTTCCATAGGCCCTTGGCAAACAGGAAAACTTGAGTGATTTTACTGAAGCTGTCCCCTTGCCTGTAATACCGCCGTCCAAACCTGTCTCGTTCAGACCACAATCCGAGCCTATCTCAACATGCTGTCTGCTCCCCTATCCTCAGCTGGACCTGATGTCTTCCTCTTAGACTTCTGGAAGCGCTTTGTACTTCTCTTGGGGAACAACATCTCCCTTTAAAATGTAAATCAGATTTTATCCGTGCCTTGCTCAAAAAAACTCTAGTGGCTTCTCATTATAGGGAATAAAACCTGGACGTCCTCACAGTGGCCCCGCTTGGTCTGGCTCCAGGCTCCTCTTCAGCCATCTCCTGCCACACCCACGGCTCATGCCACAGCAGCCGCAACCTTACTGAACACATTCCTACCTCAGGACCTTTGCACTTGCCCTCTGCCTGAATTGTTCTTTCCCTCCAATAGTCACTGTTGGCTCTTTACCCAGATGTCACCTGATGGGAGAGGCCTTCTCTGACCACCTTATCTAATCTGTTTTATTTCTCCTTATATTACTTCTTGCTGGCATTATAGTATGTATTTTTCAGTTTGTTTCTTGCCTGTGTCCTTCCACTGGAATCGCAGCTCCATGAAGGCAGTGACTTCTGTCTGTTTTATTCTGTTATCCCCTTGGCACCTTGGCAGGTATGTGGCCCACAGTAGGACCCCAGTAGATTTTGGTTGGATGAATGGTCATCGTGAGAGGCGCCCTGTGCAGGCTGCTGGGGTTACAGATGTAGATGAGCCAGACTTGCGTTTTCAGGTGCTGGGGAGAATAGTGACCACACAGAGTTGTGCCTGTGGTGCAGGAGAGATACAGACCAGTGTGGGACGGCCCAGGTGCTGGCTCACCCTACCTAGGGCTTGTCTGTGTTCCAGAGGATACATGCTGTATCTGAAGACCACAGCTGATGGTTTAGGGGGTGGCTGGTGCCCCCAAGGCTGAGATTTTTGCACAGGTGCTGGGGGAGGTTCCGTCGCTGTCCGTTGTAAGATGTGTATGTACTTCTCTTCCAGGCCTTGGGATTTTTGCTATGGACCGTCTGCTGGGCAGACCTCTTCTACTCTTTCTGGGAAAGAAGTTTGGGCAAGCTCCTGGCCCCAGTGTTTCTGGTCAGCCCAACCCTCTTGGGCATCACCATGGTAAGTAGGGGCTGGCACTGTGGAGACCAGAAGTAGTGGCTGGCATTTAGAAATGAAATGATTTCACAGTAGAAATCCAGAAATACAGCTGTGTTAGGTGGATTTGATGTGGTCTTGGCGGGGCAGGGGGTAGGGAGGAAGGGATGATGGGGCTGAGGCCTAAAGGATGAGCAGGATGTTAAAAAGTTGAAGGGGCTGGGGGTAGAGGATGATCCAGTTGGAGAAAATAGCATGTGCAGAAGTCCTGGGGTCGGAGAGAGAGAGTGAGAGTTGGCCTGTGTGGCTGGGGCAGAGACAGTAAGGAGGGGAGAGCAGGGGAGCAGGAATGGCAGGAAGGGCAGAGGACTGACCCCGAAGGACTTCGAGCTTCAGGCTTAGTGGGTTTTGTCTTGTTTTTCATTCCTGAAGGTGGGTTCTAAACCTTTTTTGTGCCATGGACCCCTTTCTTCTTTGCCAATCTGGTCTCCTCAGAATAATCACAGAACACATAGGCTTACAAAGGAAACCAATCATACACACATATGTATACATATGAAGATTTTGTGATGTACATTTATATTTTTACTTCAGGTTTAATTTACATAGGGTAAAATTCACTTTTTTCCTTGAACAATTCATGAGTTTTGATAAACAAATATTGTCAGGTGAGTACCATGTCCACAATCAAGATACGGAACAGCTCCATCACCCCCAAAAGTTCCCTGGTGCCGCCCCAGCCCTTCTCTCCACCTCTTTACCCCGCCCCCCCGCCCGGCTACTGCTGCTGTGTTTTCTGCCCCTGTCGCTTTGCCTTTTCCAGAATGTCATGTGAATGGAACCATGAAGGCTGGAGCAGTTTGAGTCTGACGTCTCAGGCCCTGCGGTTCCAAAGATCTTTTTTTTTTTTTAAAGTCACTCAGCGTGTTTGATTGTATGGATTCCGCACGCACTGTTTATCCGTTCTTCGGGTGCAGTACATTTGGGCTGGGAAACCAGTTATCTTTAATCACAGTTATGAAAAGATTAAAACGCAAAATAAAAATATATGTGCTTCTTTATGAATACATTTCAAATCAAGACCTACCAGCAGCTGTGACTGATGCCTCCTTAATTTCCAAATAGCAATTGACCATACGTGATAGTCAGAGACATCTTCAGGTACCTTTTTTTTTTTTTTTGGCTGCCGCCGTGCAGCATGTAGAATCTTAGTTCCCCAACTGGGGATCGAACCCATGCCCCCTGCAGTGGAAGCACGGAGTCTTAACCACTGGACCGCCAGGGAAGTGCCTTCAGCTGTCTATTTTCAGATAGGATGACAGAGCCCCAGGCACTGCTGATGCCATTGTGGTGTGTTGCTTTCACGTGTCATTGGTGGTGCTAATAAGGGAAAGTGAAACTGTAATTGTTTCCCATCTAAGTTCATGGACCCCTGGGTTCTATCCAGAGTCTGTCCTTGGACCCCAGGTTAAAACCCCCCAGTCCTAAAGGCAAAGGTTCTGAGCAAGGGCATGCCAGGCTGTGCATATTTAAGAGCTGACCGTGGCCTCCGAGAATGGATTGTGGTGCAGGAGTGGAAGCTGGGAGGCCAGTAGGGGGTCCTCTGGCATTAGGGGATGGAGGCTGAGACCAGGGTGAGCAGCAGGTAAGCTGAGGGCGGGCCTTGGTGGCAGAGCCAGTGTGAGTTGCTGATGGATAGATGCAGGGAGTGAGGGAGATGGGGCGCCGAGGAGGACAGATGAGGACAGACAGACGTGTCTCTGGCTCAAGCAGCTGGGGGATGAGGGGAGGTGCCCTGGGTGCCCGTAGCTCCACGGGAGTCAGGTTCGTGACTGTGACTGGCGTTGGGGTCTGCCTCCAGAGGGCCGCCTGTCTGGGGAATGGCCGTGGCATTTCCTTCTTTCAAGGAAACACAGTTTCATTGTTTATTTTCTCTTCCTGATCTCTAAGTCACGTGTAAAACGGAAGTCATAGCTCCGGGTATCAGGAATGAAATAAAATCCCAATCCTCCCACCACGGTTGTTCTAATGAAGTTTCCTGAAGACAGGCGTGTGACAGTAGCAGGTTAAGTAAGTTTCCTGATCTGCAAACTGGGGTTGAAGACAGTTGAAAACAGGCTGCACCGAGTCGGTGCGTGTGAATGCCTCCTGTGTGGCAGAGATAAGAGAAGCTCAATAAAGGGGAGCAGTTAACCACTGATGCCCAAGGCACAAGAACCAGTCAGTATCAGGGCTGGATTTCCTGATCTAAATCGAGGGTCGGCCTGCCACCTGTTTTTGTAAATAAAGTTTTATTGGCACACAGCCGTGTCTACTCTTTCATGTATCGTGTAAGGCTGCTTTCACACTGCAGTGCAGACTTGAGTAGTTGTGAAAGAAACTCCATGGCCCACAAAGCCTAAAATATTTACTCTCCGGTTGTTTAAGAAAAAGTGTGCCTATCTCTGTCGTAAACTGAGCTTTCCCCTGACTTTTCCATCCTGTCCTGGGTCTGTACCTGGTCTGTTAGATTCCCACAGCTCTTGAGTTGGATACTGTTGTCATCCCCATTTTGCAGACAAGGCAGCAGAGGCTCAGAGAGGTTCGGTGACTTGTCCAGGGTCACCCAGCAAGGCGAGAGCAGAGCTGGGACTGGAGCCAGGTCCTTCCCAGGCTGTTCCCAGTGCTTCCCACGCCCGACAGCAGCCCTCCTCCAGGCCTTGCATCTGCCAGACTCTGGACTGTGGGAGCCTTGGGAGCCTGGCCTTCTCCTGACGACTCCTGTTGTATGCTTTTCTCTTCCAGCTGCTTGCTACCTTTTTAATTCAGATCGAGAGAAGGAGGGGAGTTCAGTCCTCAGGAATCATGCTCACTTTCTGGCTTATAGCCCTACTGTGTGCCCTGGCCATCCTGAGATCCAAAATCATGACTGCCTTAAAAGAGGTAAGTGGTGGCCTCATTTTGCGTCTTCCGTCAGCATCTCCTGGAAGATGCTTGTTCCTTCTGGCTTTTGTGGAGACCATGCGTTTCCATGGGAACCAGGGGATGGCTAGTGCACGGGCCCAGCTTCTTTCCTGAGGATTTCCCTCGCCTGTGCAACCTTTGTTCTAGAACCTTCTTTCCTCAGGGCCCCATGTGTCTGTGTAGCTCTCGGGCAGGAGCTACAGGCAGATGCACGCCACCCTCTGAACCTCTGTCAGCGGTAACAGCCAGGCAGGTTGGCGCTCAGTGTCTATTGTCTGGAACAGAGCAGAGCAGGGAGCAATGTTTGCAGGGTGGTGGCTTGGGGACCCTAGACTCGTCCCCACTTTGCCTTGGTGCTGCTCTGGCTGGGAAGTGGCTCTCGTTGGCTGCCATCCGCTGCTCCTAGGGATTCAGAAGAGCGTGCTCTTTCAGACTGTCACGTGGTTCCCTGTCACCTTCGGGCTAATCAGGAACTGGCATCAGGCAAAGGAAGGAAGAGTAACTGAATGTTTGTTGAGCACCTGCAGTGTACATTGCAGGCAGCTGACATTTATTGAGTTGGTGTTTACAAAGTGCCAGGCCGGGGACTGAGTCGTTTCCGTGAATAATCTTACTGACTTCTCACAATTACCCTGACAGGGTCTCTCAGCTTCAGCACTCATTGACATTTGGGGCCCAAGACATCTTTGTTTTGTGGGACTGTCCTGTGCTTGTCGGATGTGCGGGGCAGTGCCAGTAGCCTCCCACTCCTGAACAGAAGTGTCTCTAGACACTACCAGATGTTCCCCGGGAGGCAAAGTCACGCCCACTTGAGAACCACTGGTCTGTCTGTAGATGGGGAAACTGACGCACAGAGAGGTTAAGTCCCATGGCCAGAATGAGCAGAGTCAGGCCTTGAAGGTAGGTCTGTGCTACTCCCAAGCCTGGGGCTCCTCCGCCGTGTCGGCTGCCTGGACCAGGCAGTGTGGACCAGGCTGTGACGTAACTGCTTGTCTTCTGTTATCTTGCAGGGGGTAGGGTCAGGGTGGGAAAGCTTGCCGTCAGTCCTGCAGGCTGAGAGAGTGGGCCTCCTGCTGTCTGCTCCCCCAGCCTCCGCAGGTTGCTTCCAGAAAGTGATGTTTTCTTCCTCCTTCCCTCCCTCTCATTCAGGATGCCCAAGTCGACGTCTTTCGCGATGTCACTTTCTACATTTACTTCTCCCTCGTGCTGATCCAGCTTGTGTTGTCCTGCTTCTCAGACCGCTCACCCCTGTTCTCCGAAACCATCCACGATCCCGTAAGTGTGATCACAGATGAGCACAGACACGTGTGTGTGCATGTGCGTATGCAAGAGAGAATGCACAGTGCCAGCTAACGTTGATTTGAGCCAGTATCGTCCATCTAGGAGCTCCTTCTGTCTTCCCTGAACACCTGGCGATACGTAACATTATCCTCTCCACTTTACTGTTGGAAAAACTGAGCCGTAGACGTGGCTCGGGGGATTTAAGGAGGGAATCTGATTCACAGTTGTTAACTGCTGTGTTTTCCAGCCCGTTGTCTCATTTGGTTGGCATAGTGGTTTTAGACAGTGCGAGTGAACTTTTAAAAATCAGGAAATTTCATATAAGTTCAAACTGTCCAGATTTTCTAGAAAAATGAGAAGTTCTGGCAGCAGTAGGGCTGTTATCCCACATGGCAGCGGTTGGCCAGATTTGAGGAGCATTGCCCTGGTTTCCTTCCACAGTCCTCACCACTCCCTGCTTCATTAGACAGTCTTGCTTCCGTCACCTGTGTACGTGCCTGGCCCATGGGGGGTTTGAGTTTGAGACCCTGGGTCTCTTCCGTCCGCTTGAGGGAAATCCTGCTTGTGTAGAAAGATCTGAGTGGGCCGGGTGGGGATGGCCACCCTTCTGCTGGTAGCAGGAAAGTGAACACGGTTATTTATCACCCTTGCCTGTCTTCTTTCTCCCTCTCTGCCTCCGTCCATCCTCTTTGCCTTCCTCATTCCTCCCCTTTCTTCCCTCCCTCCTTCTGTCTAGTGCTGAGTGCCAGGCCTCAATCTGGACACAGGGCTGTAGCAGTGAATAAAGCAGAGTTATTGCCACTTGAGGTTTATGTTTTCATGGGCAGGGGCACAAACAGTAACCCAGGAGCCAAGTATATATCCTATCAGTCAGGTGGTGGTAAAGGCTGCGAAGAATAGTGGGGAAAGGAGGTAGAGATGATGGTTTGGGGTCGTGTGTGGTTTTGATAAAAGCCATCAGGGAAGCCTGCCTCCCCCCTGCCTCCAGGAAACCTCATTGGAGCAGAGACCTGAAGGAGTGAGGGAGCCAGGCAAGCAGATACCCAGGGAAAGAGGTTCCAGGCAGAGGGGTGGCAAGTGCAAAGGCCCTGGGGCAGAGCTGCCGTGAATGTCGCCGGAACAGCAGGAAAGGCTAGTGTGGCTGGAGAAGCGAGAGGCAGGAGGGGGCTGAGGGATGGCCTCTGAGAGCCGGGACAGTCACCTATGGGCCGGGGGGGCTGTTTGGATTTTATTTTGAGAGGGATGGGAAGCCTTTGGAGCGTTCATTTGATGCTTTGTTCATGGTTAGTCAGCTGCTAACGGATGAAATTGCAGTGGGAGCAGTTTTCAGCTGTGGTTCTGCTGGGTTTGGCCTGAACCTCAGCAAAAGGCTGAGGCTGCTTTTGTGGGTGATGAAAGGATCTGTGGGGCATCAGCCTGGAGGAGGTGACGGATGCTCCCAGTGTAAGTTTCAGAAACTTGTGCCCTAGAGTGTGTTCAGAGAGGCCCCATTTTCTCATCTCCCTGCTCTGGGAGGAGCTGGGTTGGAGAAGTTAGACAAGTGTGTATGTGTGTCTGTGAATGTGTGTATATATGTGTGTTTGTGCACATAGGGGTGTGTGTGTGTGTGGTGTGTGTACGTGCATGCACATATGTTTACATGTCTTGCATGTAGATGTGTATGAGTGTGTGCATGTGTGTGTTTTTGTGTGTTCATGTGAGTGTGTTTTGCATGTGTATAAAGTTCACAAGGGCAGCAGCCATGCGTGAGCACCCAGGGGATCCAGCCCCCGGCTGGCACAGAGGAGGAGCTAAGATGTCTCCGGCCCTCACGTCTGCTGTTCATAGGTGTTTGTGTGCACGGGTGTGGGTGTGTGACAGTGGAGTGTCCCCATCAGAAACATTAGGTGTCAGGCTGTTCTGTGGAGAAGGGGATCGCACTGAACAAGTCATACCCCCCAAGTGACTGCAGACCCTGGGGTGCTCTGGGGGTAAACCGAGCCCAGGGGAGGCGGACAGGCCCACGTGGGGATCTCCTGACTCTTCAGGCTCCCTGTGGGGCCTGAGAAGCAGCCTCTCCCACGGTGCCTGATGCTTTATGGGGAATTTCTGATTTCTGGTCCCCTCTGGGATCTGGATAGAATTCCTGTCTCTTCTCTCCTGGGTGTGTGTGCCTCGGGGTGTCTCAAAGAGCTGCCTTCCTCCTCCCATTGTGCTTTCTGCAGTTCTGGGGTGTGGGGCCTTCTCTGCCCGGGTACCCCGACTCTTCTCCCAGCTGTTCCTTTTCTCTTGTGGGACTCAAGGCTCAAAGAGGTTGTCTTGACTTACAGCCTGAATCTGATGGTGGAGGCAACATGGTAATGGAAGGAGAGCCTCATTTTGGAGTCAGGCAGACCCTGGGCTTTAATTTCACCTGCGTCCCATTTATTCTTCCAATAGATATTTATTAAGCACCGTTTTTATACTGCGCTTCGTTCTGGGGACACAGCAGTATGTGAAAAAGTGTGGTCCATGCCCTGCTACGCTTATCTGTTACTCCGTAACAAACCACCCTGAATTTAGTGGCATAAAACAGCAACAGTACTTTGTTATGTTTCACAGGCCCGGGCGTTGGCTGGGCTCAGCTGGGTGGTTTTCACTCAGGGTCCTTGCTCACGTGTCGGGTGGTTAGCGTGTTGGCCTCTGGCTGGAGCCTCAGCCAGGGTTGACAGCCCCACCTGGTCTCCCCGAGCTGCCTGGGCTTCCTCACAGCGTGACGGCTGGTCTCTAAGAGTGAGCACGCATGAGGTGGAAGCTGTGTCACCTTTTAGGACCTAGTCCCAGAGTCACATAGAGTCACTCCTGCCACCCTCTTCTGATCGAGGGAACCACGAAGGTCTTCTGGGTGCAAGGGGTGGGCGCACACAGGCCCCCACCTCTAGATGGGGGAGCGGCCAGGTCTCATTGTAAGAAGAGCATGTGAGATGGCAGGTGATTCCTGGCCAACTTTGGAAAGTACCATCTACTGCATGCCCCCAGGAAGCTATCGTCCCTTTAAGCAGGTCAGCAGACTGTGTGACTACAGTCGAGATGAAGGCTGGGAATCAGGTTATGTGACTTCTGGATCTGACTTTGGGCAAGTCGCTCCTCCTTTCAAGACCTCAGTGTCCTGTTCTTGAAAATGGGTTGAGGCTCGATTTGATGCTGGCCGCACCCGCCTCCCTGCCCCGGAGCTGAGGCCTGTGACCTGGGGAGGAGGACGCTGCTAGGTGTCACCTCTGCTGTCTCCCCGTCACCCTCAGGGCTCACATCACAGTGGAGCCGGAAGATGGGGTGAGTCCAGTCCCTGTCGCTGTCCCACCCTCAGAGCAGCAGTCCCATGTCACCTGTCCTCAGAGCAGTCAGCCAAGCCCAGGGTCAGGCGGGGCCAGCCTGGGGGCCGGCAGTGCTGACCTTCTCCCCCCGCTGAGTCACCGAGCTGTCGTCCTCCCCAGCTGGCCCCGTGCCTGATGTGTGACTCAGAGCTGTGTCCTGGCCCTGCTTCCTGGCAGGGCTGCTCCCCTCTGTGCATCAGGTGGGGCCTGGCTGAGTGGGCCTCGCAGGCTTTCTGAGGCTGTCACCTGTCCCCAGCCTCTAGTGCTTTGATCTTGCTGGCCCTGAGGCTACCGCTTAGGATGCAGGGACGGGGTTGCCGTTGGCAGTTGGGGGCATCAGGGGCAAATGTGGCAGATAGTAGACCCTCAGTTCTCAAAGTGGGGTCCTCAGACCGGCAGCATCAGCATCCCTCAGGTGCTCATTAGAAATGCAGAGTTTCAGGCCTGCCAAGTCCTGTTGAGTCAGGGTCTCATTTTCACAAGATCCCTGGGTGGTTCATGGTTGGAAAGCACTGGTTTAGCAAATTCTTAAAAATTGCTCAGCTCATTTGGTGTAAGAGGTATTTTTAATCCTGTTCGTATTTTACTGTGAACATTTCAAATCTACAGAAAAGTTGAAAGACACAGTGAGTACTCCCCATCTACCCACCAACTGTATTTTACAAGTTAACATTTTGCTAAATTTGCTTTATCACAGATCTATCTAGTCAGCCAGCCGGCTAAGATTTTTGGTATTTAAAAGTGACCTTGAAATACATTAGTATCCTTCATTCACACACTTCACTGTGCAAATCATTAGCCAGAGCTCAATATCTCTTTATGGTTCGTTTTTTTTTTTTTTTTAAGTAAATTTACATAGTGACATTCCTGAATCTTAAGTTACCATTTGATGCGTTCTGACAAATGAGTAACTCAAACCCCTATTGAGATACAGAACATTCCCAGGACCCCAGAAAGTCCCGGACCTCCTGCCCCTTCATGGTCAGTCTCTACCCTTTGCAGCCCAGAGGCAACTGCTGGGCCTAGACCTTTAATGAGAGCATCGAAAACTCCATTTTTAATTCCTTTCTCCGTTATGCTTTCGGCCATTTAGTGATTCGGCGTTGTGCCGGGGGCTCCGCTGGGCTCGGAGCACCTAGAAACGAACCGACATTGACCGCCCCTTAGGAAAGATGGAGGAGGCGGCGGGCAAATAAGCTGCCGCTGCGGGATGGACAGTGGGGTTCCAAGACAGGGGAGTGCTGGAGGCTGCGGGTGCCCGAGGAGCAGTCCTGCACTCAGCCTGGGGGGCCAGAGCCAGCATTCGAATGAGGGGATGCCTCCATCCCCTCCCGTAAGGTTGAAGGCTTGGAGGGTGGATGGGAAGGTGCTCCTGGTGGTGGAAGCAGCATGTCCAGAGGTCCAGCGGTACGATGGAACTTGTGGGTGTTTGGGTACTGTGTGGACTTCTGCTTGGTTGGGTCTCTTGCTGAAAGGAGGATGCATGAGGCTGGGGACACTTTAGGGAAGCCATTGCCAGAGTCCAGGCAGGTTGAGAGGAAGGCTGGCCTGAACAGTGACCCTGTGTGTAGCAGAGCATCAAAAACCAGGAAGAGAAATCGGACAAGTTCATGGGCAAAGCACACATCGTGTGTGCTGCAGTAGAAGAAGTTGTGGTCCTGC